GGGTCGTCAGAGTTAGATGAGTAGGCGGGAAATGGGATTTACTCGGGTCTTACCTGAAACTCCACACGGTACAGCACCGGGTATTTTCGGCGTAGCTCGCACAGCTTCGGGAACTGCGAAAGCTCAGTCGGCGCGGACGGCAAGGTGGTGCTCATGCTGCTCCCCAATTCTTCCGTGGCTGCGAACAGACAGAGAAAGATCAACTGCCGGAAATGTTATTGTTAACGGTAACGTCATTAGTAAAATTATGTTCTACAATTGGCGACTTGCTCGCGAACCGTTTAAGTGCGCCAGAGTAACCGGCCATAAACGCCGGTATCGCTTAAACAAATATCACGATCAGTGGTTTATTCAAGGTCTCAACGCACCCAACAATACGTTTCTCGCACTGTATTTGCGATTTTATGTCACCCTCGTATCGCGCGGCACCACCAAAACCGCCGGAGTAACCTGCGAGAAGGGTCAACCACGGCGATGATCTACGATAACGTCGTCCCGTGCAATATTGCGATGTTGCGCGCACGAATGCAAATACAATCCGTGAGAACGAATGCAAGCGAACACTTTCCCGGTCAACTGCGGATCGCTTGTTCGCCCGCAGTCGCGATTTCCCGCCGTTTTCGCGCTGACGAATCTCTCGAGGGTAGAAAGACGAATGGAAAATGCGGCGAGCCAAGATGCGAGAGACCGGCGCAGACAAACCGCTACTTCACTCGAGAAAATTTGCAGCTGCTTGTCACTCTCAACACGTACACATACACACACGCATACATATACATATATACGTAGGTATGCGCTCTCCAGAGTAGGTGTGCGTTCTCCTGAGACACGTGCACGCACACACGGTCGCTCGTACGATCATGTGTATGTGTATATACGTGTCGAAGGTGCACTCGCTATCAGCCACCTCCCGTTGAAATTATTAATTCGCCGAGGAGCACGAAATCTGAACTACCTGGTTGAATATGGATATTAACGTAACGATTTCCGACGCTCTCGTAAAATTTAGAGGTAACTTTCCGAAATTATCCTAATTAGCCCCCGTTATTTCGGTACAATAAAGCCGAGTGTGTGATTAATGCTCGGGAGTCCAGTGTGGATTATTTCAGCAAAATTCGACCACCTTGATCCTTTTAGGCCGGAACTGTAGAGTCAGAAGCGTAGGAAATAAAACAAATGCATCATTATCGCGAAATATATCGAAATATGTTGAAATGTTTTAAAAATACGTGTAAAAAACGTATTAATTAATGCGATGTCGCTGAGAGTTCAATTGAATATTTCAAGAGCTGATGAAACATTTTGCGTAAATGCACACTCGGGAGAACAGGAGAGAAAATACGCGTCATGCGACATACTGTAACAAGAGGCACAAAGGAGACTATACATATACTGTGACAATTGTCGTTCTCCCATCATTGAACGGCCGCGAGCCGTTTGACAACAAACAACACACCGCGATCCTCAAGGCGATAAAATCTGCCCGTGTATATCACGTGTACGTTTTTCTGAAACTTTTCATTACGTTTCTCCAGCAGACGAGTGACTACGTGTATCATGTTATCATTTCCCTCGGGTGATTAAAATATTCCGTTGGCCTTTGCAACGCTCGATCAAACTCTCGTCGGCATTGCGTTATTTAATACATGTGTCTTTAATCGAGTATTTACGCGAGTGTCAGTGCCAGCATTAGTGTCTGCCACTGACACTAATGGAGCAGTCAAGAACCTCCAAGTTGCAGATCTCAGGACATCGCGACGCGGGTAGTAATACGTTATCTAATTGCAGGTGTGTTAAATCTTATATTATATAGAAGATTTCCGTTCTCAACGGACAATTCAATAAATTTACGAGAATAAAGAAACACGCGACACGAAATTTAGATGGACATTCATAATATGTTATTATGTAACAAGAAAAATTTTTTAATAGTTTTTCAAATTCGATAGAATTTTCAGGGTTTATGTGAAATTAAAATTTCGAATGTGTAATCGCAGTCGAAGAGAGAGAGAGAGAGAGAGAGAGAGAGAGAGAGAGAGAGAGAGAGGGAGAGAGAGAGAGAGATAGGGAGAGAGAGACACGCACATAAATGGAAAAATCTCATGGATTTAAATTAGTTTCAACGCGAAAGTAGATGTAAGAGAGAGTTGATAGTTGCCGGTAGTCTGTCGCGCGTTGCTTCCAGTTATCTCGGATTTAGAATGATGAAGTCTTGCTATTGACAGTCAAACGAGAAAGCAATTTACACAAGTTCGCAATGACATCCCGAGCGCGCGCACACGGTGGTTCGCTTACAGGCCGCAAATTCCCAACCGCGTGTAATACTAACGTTTGATGTGTAGATTTGCGGATGGTTGGAAATTGAATCGATTAAAAATCATTCGGTAATTTTGATAATTCACGCGGAGAATTTTGTTTGTCGTGAAAATCCGCACACGAAATTTCACGTCGCGTTGCACACATGTGGTTAAAAAATAACGATGAAAATATCACGAAAGAAGGAATAACATAATAAACACTATTAGAATAGATTGAATTGTGTGATTTGGACAAAGCGCTGTGTACTCGTTCGTGAATTGTTTTGTCCCTAAATTGAGTGCCGTGTGTTCTCGCGCGTTTAATAAGACCGAAATTAATTCTAATGCGAAGTCCGATAAAGCGGATTGGGCCTTCTAGTTACCCAACATATTTGTAGATATGCGGTGCCAGCTGTATGTGTATGAATGCAACGGCCTCATTACCTCTGTTTCTCTCGGGTACAAGAACCCGTACCCCGAACCATACACTGCACTTTGCACACATACAAGTAAACGGCAAGCGCGGCTGTTTCCATTTTGCGGAAACTGTCGGCTTTGTGTTTGCACAGTTACACGGCAATATGGAGATATTCGGGCCGTGTCTTCGACAATATCTCTAGCGCTAAATAAATAATCGAAATAACTTGGCATTCCGAATTGTTTTGCATTTAATAGCGGCAAAAATATTGATAAACGCGTTTGTTCCCGGTGTACGTGCGAGATGTGCCGGATATTTTGGACAATTCGTCATTATTATATGACAAATTCGAGGAATACATAAATTTGATTTTGCGTGTTTGTTGCGCCGTTGTTATCCTGTTGAAACGGTGCACGACGTTCCGGCAAACCGGTGCGTGAATAACGTGGCCTACCAGACTTCTGCATGCCGAACCATGAAGAGGTAAACGCGTGCGTTGGTGGTTGTTTATTGGTTCGAATTTATCGGCGAGGTATATCTATTATTAGACATATGTACATACACGAGCATACACGTGTGTAAACGCATACAAATACATAACGCATTGAATCAAGTTCGCCGTAACGTGCACGATATCTTGATTACAACGGGTTGAATACGTCGTTATAACCGACAATCTCGAGAGACATGCGCGTACTCGTGCGTTTCTATATATAAAAATACAGATATAAATTTAATACGAGATATAAAGTTTACCGTACATACCCAGAGAAAAGATTATGTATACATGACAATTATACCAATTTTGTGAATAAAATTAGTTTATGTAGTTTAATCAGCTATGTATAGTTATTGCAACTAAAGCTGAATAGTTACGAGAAATATATAATTATTACATAGTTCTTCTAACCACTTAACTCTTTAGTTGCAATAATTACCAAGTAGTTTGTTGAACTTATACTTTAATCTACACATACAAAACTTATAATTGTCATCCTTTTATGTTGCCACACGAAAAGAAATAACTTAATTATATCAGCCAAATCTCAGATAAAATGTATTCGCTGTGAGATAGATATATTTATTAGCTAAAATCAAAAGCACACATTTTTTGGAGTCGTTAAGAGAATGACAGCTATTTCTGAATATCTTACGCGCGTGAATCTCAATCATGACACTCTATTCTTTTAAATGGGCAATAAAAAAGCGACACAGGCGCGTGTGCAGACATGCGCCAAAAATATTTCGTTTTTATCTCATATCATTATGTTGACTTATTTGCATGTTATAACCGTTTGAAACCGCGGTATTAACATCACGTTTGGAAGACTCGAAATTCGCGCTTGTGTGACGCGCTAAACTTGCTCTCCCACCGACGCGTTATTTGCTTCTGCGACGAGGTGAATGACCGCGTAGTCGCAGCGAGCAAGTGTTGGGACGCAGGAGGGGGGGATAGCGGAGTGGGGGTATCGGCGGAGTGGGGACTGCCTGCCGCGTGCCGGCACGTAGCACGTAGTACAAGGTGACTGACCGGAAGCAGAACAGGTTCCGCATTCCATTGTCGCGTCGCGTCGTCGCGTGTTCACAGCTCGCTGCCGCTAATAACGTTGAGTGATCTAAAATGCGGATCGATATAATCGTTAATAACTTCACGTGTATACGTCGTAGCGACTTGAAACAAATACCATTGGAAAGGGGAAATCGTCGCGCTTCTGATGGACGTGACATCGTTCTTCGGTGAGACAAGGATCGCACGGCGTAATTATGTGAGTACAAAAAACATTGGTTTTTATGTTTGCGTTAAAGTGAATATTAATTATTAATCGCTGTTGATGACTGATACGAATCTGACAAGTAAACCTACCCGACAAAAATGCATAAGAAATAAAATTGAGTACAAGATACAGTTAAATAATTTTAAAAAAATCGGCATAGTTGAGACACGAACTATTCTAAATTTCTTTAGCCGAGATTCCAATCGAAAGATTTTAAATCTAAATTAGTCAAAAATGGTTCGAATCTCGACCGAATCGAGAAATCCGGCAATTTTAATTAAAATTTTAACAAAATTGACATAGCTGAGACAAATTATTCTAAATTTCTTTAGCCGAAATTCCAATCGAAATATTTTAAATTTGTGCTAAATTAGTCAAAAATGGTTCGAATTTTGACCAAACTGAAAAATTCGGCAATTTTAATTAAAATTTTAACAAAATTGACATAGCTGAGACAAATTATTCTAAATTTCTTTAGCCGAAATTCCAATCGAAATATTTTAAATTTGTGCTAAATTAGTCAAAAATGGTTCGAATTTTGACCAAACTGAAAAATTCGGCAATTTTAATTAAAATTTTAACAAAACTGATATAGCTGAGATAAATCATTCTAAATTTGTTTAGCCAAGATCTCAACTGAAATATTTTAAATCTGTGCTAAATTAGTCAAAAATGGTTCGAATCTCGACCGAACCGAGAAATCCGGCAATTTTAATTAAAATTTTAACAAAATTGATATAGCTGAGACAAATCATTCTAAAATTATTTAGCCGAGATCTCAACTGAAATATTTCAAATTTGTGTTTAATTAGTAAAAATGGTTCGAATCTTGGCAAAACCGAGAAATATTTGTACAAATAATTTTTTTCCAACTTTTTACATGTTTTGTTTAAACATTTTATTATTTATATAAATAATTTTACATATTTGACTTTATATTCATAATTAGCAAACCAAAAACGCCTATATCTTGTATATAATTTTATTTCATATATATTTTTGTTGTACTTGTTGATGATAGGAGTGAGAATATTAAAAAGTTATAAACTGCTCGTGAAACTCAAAGTGAGCCAAAATGAAAAAATATAACCTAAATATTTTTTGTACTTCTACATTTGTACTAAATTAGAAAGAAATCGGAGTGTACCTTTTGGGTAGGTTTACTTGTGAGTTAAGATTTGCAATGCGAAGCGTCAATTTTGTGTTTTTGACAGGTGTAAAACGCACTTTAAGAAAAACACGAAATAATAATGAGAACTTTCTATTTAGCAGCGAATATTTTTTATCTAATTTCGAGTGGCTAATAAATTTAGCCTCAGTAGTAATAACATTAGTCTGTTTCTATTTTAATAACACATTTTAACTGTCACAGTTATATTTTAGCTTCTGCAGCTAATTTTTTTCTATGTACAATCGTATTTTTTTTGGCAAGTAATTCTTACCAGATGATATATACTGATTTTATCTTTTGTAGTTCAATATTTCAAATAATGAATGTGTTTTAGACAAATTTGACACGTTTATCTTGACATGCGCGCATAAATCACAGTCATCGAAATCACAGTCACGATTCACGATCGCGCCTTGCAAGAAGCGAAGTTCGTTAAGGAACTTCTCGTAAACGTCACGCAATGCTCGTGCAAACTTGGCGAGGGCGATGTACGGAGTGGGAAACGTCTTTGGGGGTTTCTCGCGCCGCGAGTCGAGCTCGGTAGTTCTTTGAAGCTGCACGTTGATCAGTACAAAGGGCAAACGTCCTCGTGTTTAAACGCGACCGAACTAAAGTTACGATCACTTTGAAGCTTAGACGGACGAGCCGTTCGGAGGGGCAAAAGCAAACCTGATTCCGACACTCTGAAAGCCGCCTTGACACGCTTGGCGACCCCTCGATGGCACGACCTTCGTTGTAACACACATGTGCGGCTGAGAGACGTGCGGCCCCGGGAATCTAATTAGACCTTTTCGTATCGCCGTCCATCTTCCGCGTACTCGTCGTGCCTCCTCCGATATCGTCCGACTTAATTGCCCTTCTTCGGCTTCGTTACCTCATCGTCGCCTCGCCCCTTCAACCCCAAGATATCCCTACAGCGATCGCGAGAGACATTTTATCTTTCTTTCTTTCCTCTCGCAGTTTGACGAGAATATTTCTTTTAATTGGCCGAGCGTGTATTTTCGCGATAGATTCTTCGTCGAGTTGATGCCTAGCTGATAAGCGAGATATACGGCGTTGCTATTTTCACGCGAACTTTGGGCTGTCTAAGAGAGGAAAGCTCTTTAAACTATATATGTATATATAAAACTCTCGTGATATACAACCATATTAAGAGAACTATAAATCTAATAAGAGACATGTGCTGGAATTAGTATGAATAATTATTGGAATAAGGATAACAATGTCTGACAGTGCGTTAGACGTACGCGCTGAAATTTTTTCGAGTCTTCGAAGTCAAATCGACCCTGACATTTGGAAGGTAGATTACTGTCAACATCGTCAAACATCATTATCCTCCCATTCCATTAATTATTTATACTAACGTCCCGTTTTTATTAGCCTCGCAGTTTTCTTAATATGGAGAGTTCTCTCTCTCTTTCTCTGTCTCTCTTCAACTCGATGTCGGAATGCGGTGTGTTCAACAGGAAGTATAACGCGGAGCGTGTTAGCGTTTAGCAGCCACTCTTCTCCTTCGTGTCTGAGCATTGAGCGTATTTTTAGTTTGCCGGACATCCTCTGTGCCGACAGCAGCCGACCGGTCGGCTAGTCGGCCAGACGATGACCCTTAGAGCATCGCTTCGAGGAGTCGCATTCTTCTTGATAGCCGCAATGAATTCCAGCCGGCCGATTCGATAACTTTCGATAGGGTTTCGCGGCGATTACACGGAGTGATTCGCCTGAGGGCGACTCGACCCTTCGCAGTCGACACGTGTCAACGTGAACTCCTCCCGACTGCTCTCTCTTTCTCTTCCTCTCTCTCTCCCTCTCTCTGGCGATCGATGCTCGCGTATTTGCTCGAGCATCTACTTAATACCGTTCGCCTCTATTTATTACGTGGAGTGCACACATGCCCTTCACGATAGCCGCGAACGTCGACGGGTTTCGCGGGAGAATCTCGGTCGAAATGTCGGTATCGCCGGCTTGCATTTTTCATTCCTTCGTACGTCCTAAATTTTGTATGCCTTAAAGTGCTCCTTTATCGACGCGAACAGATGGAAGCGAGCGGGCGATGCGTCAGGCCGACAAATGGGGGTTGCAGAGAACGTTTCCCTCGGTGTGCTCGCGGTAAATTCGCCGTTAAATTAGGCACATCAAATCGGATCTTATGAATCTGAGAGTATCGGGACGGCGTTCGCGTCAAATGCGATTGATTCGTAACTGCAGATTCCTTCGCAGTTTTGCGCGGGAGAGAGAGAGAGGGGGGGGAGGGGGGAAGGAAGACATAAATCTTTCTTTTTATTTATGCAAGTATCCTGTTAAACGTCTGCGAGCTTTGTTATTCGATCGCGGCAAAATTCGCAAAAAAATTCCCTCCCGTCGTTCGTGATTTATATATCTCTCTGGCTTTCTCTTTTTCACTCGTTCGTCTTCCCTCTCTTTCGTTTTACCGGCCGATTTCAATTAAACGTTTCGATCAAATGCACCGTTCATGCAAAAAACGTTCCTTTCATTTGGGAAGGCCAGGCCGATATTCGCCCTTCGCGGCCAGAGGATACCTCCACCTGCGCGTTTTCAAACATTCGACGCTCGTCGTAAATTCCAAACCCATGTAGTTTTTCCCGGGCAACCCGCGAAGTGCGGCGGGTTAATTAACGAGAAACCCGATCCAGCGCGCGCGTTATCCGGCGGCTCTACGGCCCACGGCGATTGTTATTGTCTTGGCGCGAATCGATCGGCGCGAATTTCAAGCCACCCACTGGGGAATTACAATGGCGACTCATTATGATCTGGTCACCCCGGCAATTAGCCGCGAGCCGTTATTTGCTCACGTCATATTGCCGCGTGTCGAATCGTTGGCGTGGTCTCGCTTTTCCCGCGCGTCCCTGTATCTTGCGGCATACTGACATACACAACGGGGACGGAATATCGCGCAATACAAAAAGCGCGTAACCGCCGATGTCACAGGCAGAATCATGTTAATTTCATAATACTCCGCGTTGTACATTAATTTCCTGCCACGAGGGAGCACTCGCTTCATAATTAGCGGGCTCAGTTTATAACTGAAGTATCATATTAATTCCGCGCGAATTTTTTAAAATTCCATTTCAATATAAAAAGCGATATATTATTCGTAATTAATGCAAAAATGATCTATATTAACGCGGCGAATAGAAACAAATTACGAATTAATTGAAATATATATTTTACACAGCTAGCTTTTTTCCTATGCCCCTCTCTAATGTCTTTATCGATTAGTGCAGCGTTACACCGTGATATTTCGTGAGAGATTTTCGTTGAGAGCAGAAAATGTAATAGTTAATATAATTAAAATTTTAATTATTTTTCTCAGTATAATTTCCGAATTAATGTAAAAAACGCAACATCCTAGACGTCTCCAATGAGTGCGCGAAATCTTCCGCAGTTGGTATTCTTAGTTTTCCAGTTGAGCTCTCTTTACGCGTTAGGATGATTCGACGGAAATAGATGCTATTGATTGCGGGATTCTCCGGGCGTATATAAAGGTGGCACTTATCCTAATACATCGTGACGATACGGAATTCTCTAATTTAATCAGGATTATTAAAGGACACGATTCTCAGCTACGTAACGTTAGTAATGTGTCCGATTGATTTATATCCCGCTGCCTCCGCGCAAATCACTGGCTATTGAAAAGGAAAGTTATTGCAAGGGAAACGCGTGTGGCAGAACGAACGGGACAGGTTCTGTTATCATGAAGCATCCAACGTAACCGTATTCACATAAAAAGGAAAGGGTGGAAGGTTAGCGGAATGTTACGGGACTAACTACGTTGCACCACCCACTGGTGCTTCTAATCGAT